ATCAATGAGGAATACAAAATGCGTAGTGCTTTCCCGTCCAAAATATATCTAACCCTTGCCAATATCGATATATTTTTTGCTATTTTGTTCTGAACATATCTGATATGAGATTTCCAGGAGAATTTGTCATCAACTATGACACCTAGAAATTTAATTTCATATACTCGTTCTATATTAACTCCCCCAATTTTCAATTGAAGTTCATTGTCTAGTCTACGATTCCCAAATACCATAAATTTAGTTTTATCCAAATTCAGAGATAGTATATTACTGTCACACCATTTCTTTATCTTCTCAAGTTCCTGTGAAACCTGTTAAGAAAAAACAATGGTAGGCTCAGGTACAGTACAGTGTGTACAGACTGCACTTCAGTTGTTATTGATCTCCTTAGAGATATTCTGCTGATTCATGCATAATTGAAAGAGAAGTGTAGATACATGACAACTTCTGTATAGGCTCTACCCTTTATTGTGACACATAATTCACAAGTTAAGGCATTGCCCACAGCGAGGGAGACCACTGGTTAAAGGAAAATACAGTCTGCAAAGTGTGAAATGTCCACTTTTGTTGTTGCATTTCTTATGTTTTTTTCTCTGCCTGCACTTGATGGGTCACAGCCAAAATGTCAGAGCAGGTTTAGCAATTAACTGTTCAAAGATATCAGTCAGTGAGAGCAAGTAATTTTACATAAACTGCCAGTCCAGCAAGCACAGCCTGATGACACCCTCTGGAATATCCCATCTCAACATATGCCTAATTGTTTACCACTGCTTGTTTACATAAATACAAAACGATGCAGGGGAGGAGGGGCGGGGGGCAGAGGAGGGTTTAGAGTCACTACACTATAAGACAAAGCTCGAGAATTAATAACAATTTGTGGCAGATAATTACTTATCAATTAAAGCTGTTATCCTGCCTAATTAGGCAGCGTTCATTAAATTCAGCCAATTTAAGCCTTAATTAAAGTTATCAGGGCCTGAGAGCGAAGCGTGACTCAGTGGAGCATCGCCCCCCAGTGGGCCAGCGGGGAAGGAGCTCCTCATGATGTGTGTGCACACCAGGGAGAGAGAGGAAGTTTTATTTACTCTTTTTGCTGTGTTATTTTGCTTTGTTGCAAAAATGGGTAAACTGTGTATCACAAGTGTTGATTTTTTAAATTTATTATTATTATTATTATTATCAGTCGTGACTCAGATCCTTTGCTGAACAGAAGTAGGAATGCAAGTTTTACTCAAGTAAAAGTACTTGAAGAAAAATGTACTTAGTGTAAAAAATATATTTATTCGACAAAATGGTTCCCTTTTGAGTATTTCATTACTATATTCTTACAAACATTATTTTTGTCGATACATTGACGTGTAAGCAGCAAAGTGAAGCTGTTTTTACTGTTATATATTCATTGAGAGATTCATTTATATAAAAGTGTCATATTTTATGAGCTGATCATATGTTTTGTATATAAAACCCCTAAAGTGACTATCTAGTGTCCAGTAGTCAAATAAATATATTGGTTTAAAGAATACACTTTTTTTTTTTTAGCAATGCAGTGGAGTGAAAACACATGCATGGCTGGATCAGGTGGCCCTGGGGCAAAAATAATGTCTTGTCAGGCTCCTATTTACCACATTTTTGCTTTGGTAATGCATACAAAGTCCTTAGAAAATCAGGTAGCCTGAGTACAAGTACCTCAAAATAAGTATTAAGTACTGAGTTACTTTCCACTAGTGATGATGACAGTGATGGTGGTTAACGGTAAAATATAAAAAGAAGTACTTTACTGAGGTAAAATAAGTAACACCACAAATAAACATTTTACTGAAGTAAAAATACCACAATATTATCAGCACAATTAATGTCATCAACAATTATTCTGTACAAAGGCATCATAGCTTGTTTCTTATGTAAGAATTAATTTCAAAGCTGAAATGTGAATGAGTAAAAAGTAAGATAGTAGCCTGAATGTAGTGTAGCAGAAGGCTGCAGAACATGAGTGTACATAAGTAAATTACAGTACCTCAAATCTGTAGACATAAACATAATGGTTATTCATTTGTTTTTCTACTCAGAAGCATAAAAACTACACTCAGAAAGACACACAATGGCTCTGAGTTTAACCGTCCTTCACCCTCTGGCCTGTTAGCTCTGATTTTTAAAGCTTTCACTTCCAAGAACTGTTGTGGCCAATTGACAATAAAGCTTCTCAGTGCGCCTCCGCACAAGGAACCAGCTAATTAATATTGGCTCTTGTTTGGTCTAGTTAATGAATGAGTGAATTATGCACCTCTGGGACACCGCCTCCCCAATCGGTTTAAATTATCCCCCACACCCCTCTTCCAACATTGTCCTCCAATTTCCCTACTCTGATCCTGCACTGATGGGGTCCCTGTCACCCACCACACCACCACACACACACACATATGTGCACATGGACACCAAGGCTACTCCTGCCATCTCCATCTGTCTGCCTTTGTTTTTTTTGTCTTCATTGTCTCTAAAGCCCCCCCCCCCCCTTTTTTTTTATTCAATGCTTCTGCTCGACCTAGCATCATCAGCTCAGGGTGGCAAATAACTTCCATCCCATTAACTCATTTGAGAGGGAGGGCTAGTCAAACAAAGCTTGGCCGCAATCTGATCCTCTCCCCTCACGCACGCACACACACACACACACACACAGAGTCTCGTTGGTCAGAGATGAAAAAAAAGAACTGCATGATTTGCATTAAAAGCTTTGCACCGTGAAATTCATTTATAATTACAATGCGAGATACTGTGTGTGTATAGCAGATCAGGGATGTGTGTGTGGAGTGAACTGCACTCAGATTGGTTATTCTGTGATATGCTAACACGGGCTGTATGGTGACAGACTGCAATTATCCTGTTATTGTAACTGTCAAAGTCAGTTCACTGCAAACCAAGTACAAACTGCATGAAGAAACAAGGATTTACACAACTTTCTTTCTGAACCTCAGCTTTAATAATAACCATGCTGTCAGCCCTTCAACTCAAATAGATTGTGACGTGATAGCATATTTGCCTCCAAATTAGGGCTGGAAGTGAAATCCGTACTTGTCTTTATCAATTACACTATGTAGACATTTCAGTTTTATCAGCTATGAACTGAACATTAAGTTAACTATTTCAGCACCTGGTAAAAAAAAAAATCAAATTAAAAGAAAAAGTAATCAGCAGTTCCAAAAAATACTATTACATCTGTAATAATCGGAACATTAACTGGCTGAAAATGTCTGGAAAGTTTCATGAAGTTGATTAAAGTCTATGATAAAGATGTAAGTATGACTTCAAGTGACATGGGTGACATCCATGACATTTCTCATTGTCAAAAAAATAAAATAACATAAAAGGAACCCAGTGAGTGGCTTGTTCAAGTAATGACGAGGTCATTGTGAATCTAAGGTGAAAGTGTTTTCATTTACATTACAGTAAAGCTCTGCTCATCCTCAAGGCTCCCCAGCGCCTTCATGTGGTGAAAAGGGGCGGTGCAGGTCTTTATGTAGTTTAGATCTCTCTTGGGTTTTTTGCCTCAACTCTGGTCATACTACCAAAAAATAACAATGCAACAATCCAAATAAAAGGTGATTATCCTTATCCAGTACCAGAATATCAGGCTACCTAATCTGAAGTTTTATTTAGAAAAATGGTGTCAGAACTAGATTTTGACACCAAACGTGTAACAATGTGACAAGATTACATATAATGGATGATGTGCAAGTACAGTCGGCCCAATCAAATCACCAAAACCCAACCTCCATTAGTTAGGTAGTTCTAAATTCTAATTTAAATAAGATAGTCCAAACTTAGCTAAAACTTAATGTAATAGCTCGAAAAAGACGAAGATAGGAGAGAAATATATAAGTTAAACACCGGAATTTAAAGCTCGATTCACAAACATTCAAGTGGCCGCCGGTCAGAGTCAGGTGACACCTGTGCAGGTTCACACCTGTTTCTACTTAATCAAACCGTCCAGGTCTCCTTCCACCCAAACCAAGGAGGCCGCTTGTTGTAGCGTTACTAGCTGCGATGGCGGAATCTAGGCGAGTTGATCTGACCACTTTGAACTGTGGTCTACATTCATCTTCTAGCCAGCTTTCTTCGGTCCAGAGGTCCCGGTCAGGTGGTCTGTGTCCTGCAGACAAGTTTCCAGGCTCGCCTGCTGACACCGACACGGTCCGGCTGGTCCTCTCGTTGTTTGACCCCGATGAACGGAGCTTTCCGGAGTTCAGCTACACTCAGCTCGTCGACAACAAGGTAGGGTTTTACCCTGAACCTCTGCTGAGAAACTCAGTTCATTTGGGAGTTTTCTTTTAACAATTGACTCATCATGCAGCTATAGGACTAAAACCAGACAACACGGTCGCTCCCAGTGTGTCTTTTACCTAAAACTATCAATAAAAGGTGTTTTAAGGGGCTACTGGGCTTTTTTCGGCTAACAAATAATGTCTGGCCTTAAAAACAATCACTAATAGTTTTTTAGTCCATTTCTTGGTCAAAGATGTTAAGATACACCTGCTTGTTTCCTTTTCATTGTCCCGATGTTGCATCACTATAATGACTAATCACAGGTTAAACAGTAACAGCCCACCTTGATCAGGAATTTTAAGATAAAAGTTGACATTTGTCATTATTTGACTTTTTTAAGTTAAAAGTTTTTAAAGATAAGGTATCCCTTCTAGTGGCTAGTTTGGTCATGCTCTGTGCTGTTTTGTGCAAGTTTACCTTTCATTAATTCAAGTATTGCACTACTTCAGAAACTATCCAAATTCAAAGTAACTTTTTTTTTTTAAGCATTAAAACTCATTAGAGCACTTTTTGTTTTTTGAAAATCCAAATGTATATTTTATATAATGGCCACATGATTAGCTTCCTTTCAGCTCATTCAGTATTATTTGGCCTTTTCTGTGAAGAATTTGTGAAGGTTTCCATGAAATACTCTTGCAAAAACATGCCAGTCAAAATGATTGGCGACTGAATCACCGATAGCTATGGTCGTCTTTGTTAGTCTTATGACAAACCAAGCATGCTTGTTGCCCAGACAGTGCACAACTGAACCATGCTGGGAAACTGGATTTGGAGGGTATCAAATGAACAAGTGAAATTCATGCACATTTTACAGAGGTCTCCAGCTATGACTGAGCTAAATGTGTCCGTGTGTGATGGGACAGGACTGCTGTTATTTTGGAGATGGACTGAGGAGGCAAAGTCAGAGCCACAGGCTGGAGTGTCTTATTGACTGTGGCTACAGATCTGGATGAATACACTGATAACTGATGTCATAAATCAGCTTTTGTGCGGACAAGCCCTGGTTCACAGTAAAACTCAAGCAGCTCCATCGTGCCGAAGACGAGGCCTATAAGAGTGGGGACCGGACCCTGTATAAACAAACCAGAAACACACTGACAAAGCAGATCAGAGTAGCAAAGAGGAGGCACTCTGAAAGGCTGAAAAAATCAGTTGGTGGCTAATGTCCCATCGTCACTGTGGAGGAACCTAGAGAACATCACCGGTTACAGAAAACCATCCTGCTGTGGAGGGCCATCAATTGGCAGGTGAACTAAGTGTTCTACTGCAGGTTTGAGATGCAGACCTCCTCACCTAGCAGCTGCTCCCCTCCACAATCACCCCCCCAGATCTGTGAAAGGCTTGCATGGGGTTTTGGGTGGGCAGAGATCATTGTGGTGCTCTTTTTGCCCAGTGTTTTTCATTTTGTGGGATAGTTGATTGTGTTTTGCTGGGAGTGAAGCACATGGGGTTCAATAGGAAGTGCCACAGTCATTTAATTTTGAAATGTGGCAGTGTTTGCCGCATGTCCAGAGGCTCCACTTCCTCTTTACAGGGGGGCTTTCTCTTGGGAAGCTACAGAGAGTGGTGTGTGATAACCCACCTCGGTTATGGTCTTGGCTCCACAACTACAGGTTGTGTTAATAAACTGCACAAAGATAACCCTGGCAGGTGTGGTTAATCTATGCTTTACACCCCAGTGCAGAATTAGAATCACTACACATAATCCCAGTCCCCAAAAAACCCTCAATCAGTGGACTAAATGGCTACCTGTACACCTCACGGGTCAGGAGGAAGGCAGAGAGGATTTCTGCAGACCCCTCACATCTTGCTCACAAACTCCTCCCCACTGGATGGCGCTACAAGTCACTGTATGTCAAAACAACCAGACACAATGGCAGGCCATCACTCCCATGAACAGCTAATCCCATTTATTTGATTTATATAAACAAGAGCAAACGCCACAGTGCAGTAGCTTATAGATGTGATCGCTGCACCTAGCTCATTTTTTAACTTGTGTATATGTACATATTTAGAAATAGGTGGTTGTCTTTTAGCTTGTTTTTCTCGGGGGTTTTGTTTGGTGCACATTGGTGGGACATTGAGCTGTAGTCAAAGTCCATGTATTTTAACATACTTGGCACTAAAGATTATCATTGAATAAAATGTATGTTTCATATGGGACTGAACATTTTGTAGATCAGTGACTCAAAAGATAAAGCCCCACTGAGCAGATATGAAGAAGGAAGAGAGAATGATGAGGTTGTTGCCATTGCAAAGAAGCTGGAGAAAAAATATGTAAGTAGCTTTCTACAAATGTGAATCACTTGTAAATATAATAGATTTTGCCATGGACTTGGTTTAAATCCCTTTCAGCAACAGTCATCAACTTGGTATGATATGGAAATGAAACAAATATTTGGTATCCTCTTGTTATAGGGTAGAAGCCTGAAGAAAAAGGACCGCATTCAGGACCTCATTGATATTGGCTACGGATATGATGAAGAGGATTCTTTCATTGACAACTCTGAGGCTGTAAGTTCCAGTTAAGGTGAACATTAGAATTTCTCCAGAAGTGGATTCTATATTTCTCACCAGCATCTATATCCGTTTTTCTCTTTAAACTATAGTTGTTGTGAATTTTTGGCTTTTTAGACATTCAGAAAATCACGTTATTCCAAAAAAAAAAAGTATCTTGAAAAAATTTCCCCTTCTCAGAATTGGGGTTGCACTCATAGGTTTCCCTTCAAATGTATTCCATACCTTTACATTCACAAGCCCATAATTCTGCCTCAACCTCTTGTGGCTTATTTTTTTACAGGGCCAATGGCCTGCTTTTCCTCTTCTTTTTTGACTTATCTACAGCGGTAAATTCTCATCTTTGCCGTGGCCTAAAGCTCAAAAAAGAGGTGTACGTATGTTCTAGTGTTTCTATATTGAAGCAGCTGGGTTTATACACACCTCGTGTCGTGAAAATTACATTAAATGTTTTAACCTGTGTTCTAATCAATATATTAACCAACATATGTTATTCAATGGATTTTAAGCTTTCAGAACAGACTACAGATCACAGGGACCTGTGAGACACTGCATGTGTGAACTGAAGGACATGTTTTATCTTTGTTTTCAGTACTCTGTGTTATATGTTCAGCTAGGATGGCATTCCAGACTTAAAGGAGCCAGCAATAAACTCTTTCCTGCCATATATTGTGAACGGACAACATATTGTTTATCGTCTGAGGGGTTATCAGGGCAAAGCCTCAAGTTCACTTTTCCTGTTTGAATCTTCTTTCCAACTTGATTAACGCCTGGAATGAATCTTTAGGGAGTGAATTTTTTTTTTTTTTTTTTCCCCTAACAGAATAAAGTATTGACATGATGGTTTAAGGATTTCCTTCAATGGGCCGTTGCGCGTTCATGTGAGCTTGCCTGACATCCACTGTGCCATTGTAAAAGCTGAATTTTTCGACTGCTCCTGGTCTTGTGGATATATTTTACCTCCTGCTGCTGCAATGTGACCAGAGGATGTAGAGAAAAATACAGGGCTTGAAGTTACTGCATGTCCGGGAATGTTCCTGTACAGGCACTCGCTGTTTTAACTGACCAGGTCTAACCTACAAGCAGCCGGCCTGGGAAGACCCCGGTGGCAGTGAATGATCAGCTCATCAACTCTGGGTTCCCCTGGAGCACAGTCCCTATTTATTTTGACTGCTTGAGGCCAGTGTGTCTGCCGCATGTGATGTGTGGCTGGTTAACCAGCGGATTAACGCCCCATGATGTTACTGTTGGCGCTAGGCTACATGTTGGAATTAATTTCACTACTTTGGGAGAGGGTGTTGGACTTCCGCTTTTTGGGGGTCCACATCGAGGAGGACCTGACCTGGGGAGTTGATGTCTCAGCGCTGGTGAAAAAGGTCTGATTATGAAGGAGAAATTCATTCAGTTCATTGTACTGTCCACTTGCGACAACACTGGCAGGCAGAAAT